GAGGCACCGGAAATACAGTCCCCATGCCGAAGCCTGCCTACACCCAATCCGAGTTTAACCCAACTGCCACATGCCTGCCTACAGTCACTGCTTCCTTCTAGCAACTTGTCCCTGAATGAAGTACTCCGAGGTGCTTCTAGTGGCAGAGGTGTACTTGGTAGAAGTGTATGTCTTTTTGTCTCAGACCAGACCAACACAGCTACTAAGTACACCCCTGAAACATGGAAGATGCCAAATTTGGAATTTAAACTTCATTGCAAAACAACAAGGAAGTTTTTGGGGGGTTTTGTTTTTTGGGGTTTTTTTTTTACCTCCCTGACTACCACTCGACACCTCCAGGGAAGGAATTCTACCCGATCAACACATCAAAGAGCTACTCAAGGCAGCTCAAAGACACTCTCATGGACCCAGAGGGTCAGACTTCCATCTTCAGCTCCCTCTGTGCAAAAATGATTTTTTTTCCTACCTATGGGGACTTTTTACCCTCTTGTACCATCTGTGCTTTTCCCAGAGCCTGACAAAGGGACTTTGATCCCGAAAGCTTGCAGAAAAGGATAAGTTTCTTGCTATTTTCCAGTTGGTCTAATAAAAGGTATCATTTTGGAACCAAGGAGTTCTAGTTTTTTTGTACATCTAGTGGCAGAATTACTAAAAGGAACTAAAATGCTTCATCCTGCTCAACTGAGTAAGTTCACCCCTGTGTAATATTGGCTGCTGGGAGCAGCCAAGTTTGCAAAAGAACAAGAAGCGGAGGAATCCCAGGCAGGTAGGCTGGGTGCAGGAGCTAAACACACCAGATTGGCAGAAGAGGCATGTACCCAATGAGCTGGGATGACATCCACAAGAGTGAGCCCTGCATAAACTACAAGGGCAGCCCAACAGCCAGCAGAACCCAGAGGCAGGGCTATGCAGCATTAGGCCAGCGGGTGTGATAAGTGGTCTCCAAACTATAAGTTTATTAGTCCAGGACATTACCCAGGTGGACAGGGGTCTGGAAAAAACACTTGTTTTTTCCTCCCTGAACAATGCAGCCCCACCTGGAGGAAACACACACCTAGTAAACTACATCTAAGCCAAACTCCTACCAGAAAGGCTCCTTTCCAGCTCACCCATCATCAGCCTTCCCCTGTATTCTCCAGGGACACTAAAGTCATTCCCACTCCAGCCCTGCCCGTCCTGCTCCTGTCCCCAGGGCAGTCCTGCACACAGTGCTTCTCACTAAATCCACTTCAGGAGCAAGCTCTAGCAAGCTGAGCAAAGCAGAAGTTGGTGTCTGCGTCACACTGCAGCCAGGGCGAGGGAGGCAAAAGCTGGAATCAGTTTCAACGCGAGCCAGGCAAGTGCAGCGCAAACTGTCCCAAGGAGGAAGTAAGAAACTTTGCTACATCCTGCACCAGCTCCAAAGCAGGAAAACCCATCCTCAGCCCTTAGCTTGCACTTACACCCGCTCCCCCCACCATGCTGCCAGCTCTAGGTTATCTTTCTGCTTTATTTCAAGTTTCAAGCAATTTACTAACCTGTAAACAACTCTTCTTCCTGCCCCTTTCTATCAACGGCTGGTGATATCACTCAGGGATCCTGATCCCTCCCGCTTTTTGGCAAGTCAGGCCTCGGTAAGGCCATGGGATTGGCTGCACTATTCAGCTGGCCTTAATTCTCTTAAAGAGACAGAAGGGCTCATTAATGAGATATGGCAGGTGGCTAATTAGCACCTGTCTTGTTCTCAGTGGCAGTTAGAAACCCACTTCTCCTGTTTCAGGCAGCAGTTCAGTCCTTGTTCTCGCTCTCTCGTTTCATGAGCGTCATGAAGTGCCAGGCCTTAATACTGTAGACAGCCTGCTTGCAGCACCTTCTCTAGCACCTTTGCATCTGCAGAGTTTGAAGTGCTTCACAGACACCAATGGCATAAAGTTCTTGTTGGGAGGCACGTGAGAGCCATCACCCTTGTCAAAGTAGTCATTAAGGGATCTATCTGAGATCTCCCTTGCCAAGCCAGGGCAGGAATATGAACCAGTCCTGACCTCAGGTCTGTGCTCTAACCATTGACCTTTCTCCCTCCTGTTAAGGGACAGTCCAGATGACTCTCCTCTCTCATTCATGAGGGCTCTTTTCCATTTTCCCTTTGTCCTCAACAAGGGCTTAGCAGCACCCATCATAGTCCAGGACCCCACACACCAGAGACTGTACAAACACTGAACAAAAAAAAGAAGGGGCCTGCACAGAAAGCTGGGAGTATTAGCATGAGAATGGGCTAAGAGAGCATCAAGTCCAGCACACCTGTACACAGCTGGAAGAAGCTACACCGCACAGGTTTGATTTATGCAGGCTTGAGCAGGTAAACAGGGGTACTCAAGAGCACATGGACGTAGCAGGGACTAAGAGCCCCTCTGCTAGCTGCACATGCCGCATCTTGAGTCACAACCTGCATTTGATACACTAAGGTGCTTTCTACCTACTAACCCTGAACAGCCCTGAGGTTCCTTCCCCTGGACAGGCTGCTGCAGCCCAGGAGCTCCTGGGAGTGTCTAGATTTACATTCAGGGGACACAAAACAAGGTATTGGTTATGGGAAGTTCTCGCTGATACAGTCCGTTCCCCTCAGGGCAGCATACATACTAGAAAAGTGTCTGTGGGAGACAAAGTTCCTCTCAGAAGAGGAGCTGCGGCTCTTCTACCCCTCTGCAGTGTCACAATGCTAGCTCCAGTGAGAGTTGCTATTGGTTTGGGAAGTAGGAGGGTTAGCAGAAATGTTTCTAGGGACCATAGTGATGTGGTTTGAAAATGGGATGCTCTGATTTCTTAATAAATGACTGCTTGCTGAGCACCGATTTCCAATGGCCCCTGACAGGTAGCCAACCTGTGGCATGGGTGCTGCTAGTAGCACTGGCAGCCTGTCTATGGCATGCTGCAGATGAAGGAGGGGCAGGCAACACACTGGCAGATAGGACAAGCAGAACAACACATTGGGTGAGGGAAGGGGATTGGAGTGGCATTCAGGAAGGATGCAGGGCTTAATTTGTGGTGTGCCTGCCACTGCCTTAGAGTGATGAAGCTACAGCACATCTGTAACTAAAATGTCTCCCCCATTTTATTACTGATGGTTTTCCTTTTTTGCCACATACACTAGATCAGTTTCACCACTTTGCATCTAGGCAGTTTCATGATATGTTGCCCTATCTCAGGCGTGTCCTTATTTGGGCTGAGAAACATTTGAGTGCAAACAGATCTCAGCTGACTTGTGTCCCTACTTTGCAGAAACATGCTCAGAGCCCTTCAAAGGATACATTTGTTATCAGTGTAAGAAAATAAAGTCAGGGGACTCACTACAGCAACCTGTCACACCCACCTTAGATGCTGCTGCCTAATAAACAGTACGAGTGAAATATTACAGGCAGCTTTAAGAGGTTCTGAATCAGCCTGAGGTCCCCCATACAGTCTGGTCTTAGATAACCTTGTTCTAGAAATTTACAGGGGAGATGGAAGTCAGAGGTTACCCTCTTAAGTCACTTACAAGCCCTTTTCAAAAAAAATCTCTGCCCTCATCACCCCTGCCATTCATTTTTACCAACCAGAGACACTGCTTGGAGACCAGAGACAGATGTTTGCTTTTGGCTTTCATGGCAAGCCAAGCACTATTACCCAAGAAATCCAGATTTCCCTTAGCAAACCTGCATCTCCATGTCACATACTGCACCAAATATATCGCTGCACAGGAAAC